ATTTTTCTGTGATTTCATTTTCTCCGTGAATGCAACGATGCACTCAAAAAATGCAAATCCACTTTTTATTTAAATGGAATTGCATTTTTTTTTTTTACTTGAGTCAACTCCTTGAAACATTCTGCATAAAAAAGTACTATGGTACTATTAGAACTAATAAATGGAGGCACCTCGCGTCTACATATACAGTAAAAGCTGCAACAGAGTTTGGGAAGCAGACGTTGCATACATCCAGCCGAGATGTCGAATCTCGAATTAGATGCGACGACCAGCCAAGCATGAACGTAGAAAGGGATAGACAGTGGCGGAAAGAGAGAGGTCTAATGATCAAAGGAAAGAGCCGAAACGTATCGGTGTGACTAATACTAATTCAGTTATAAAACTTTTTTATTTTTGACTTTTTTTTACTGAAACTTTTACTAGCGCATTGGTGAAATTTTTCTGATTAAAACGATACCAAACACGATATAGTTTGAATGGGGCGAGGTTATGGGGCGCTGTGAAAAATCCAGGCGGGCCGCGGTCAAAACTTAGCGAAAAGGGACGATCTCAACATTCAGAATGAGAGAAGGACAGCATGACTGTAGTACGTCTCACTCAGCGTTCGGGCGATGTTGCCGTTTTCGCTTGTCTTCGCAGCACAGTTCGAGTCACGTAATCAAACTAACGCTTGATTCTGACTACGATTCCAAATCGACAGCCTTTCCACTTAGACGCCACCTTATAACTACTAGCTGAACTAAATTTGTCACGTCACTTGCTCTGTAGTATCCAGATAATGGCGGAACTCGTCTTTGGGAATGCTTTTACGGGAATACACTTTTCGTCCTCATATGAGAAGATTTTGATCTAAATAACGGTTCATTCGAAAGAGGAAGGTTCAATGCAGGGCGGTCTGGTCATCGTTTGAGTCACGGAACTGTTTTAGTGACCTAAAAAATACTTGGAATCTGCGGATGTATTTTGTCGATTTTTCCTCTATTTTGGACACTCATATTATTAGATATCAACACAATCGCGTTGAACCATGACCAGACCGCCCTGCATTGGACCTTCCTCTTTCGAATGAGCCCTCACCCAGCCCTAAAGCTTCTCATATAAGGACGAAAAGTGTATTCCCGTAAACCCCTGTTTAGGCCCATTTTTGCCGGTAATGTCACCTCGCTGCATTACCGGCAAAAATGGGCCTAAAAAGGGGTTTACGGGAATCGGTTATTTGTCCTTATATGGGAAGACTTGGGGCTGGGTGAGGGCTCATTCGAAAGAGGAAGGATTGTGTCGATATTTAATAATATGAGTGTCCAAAGTAGAGAAAAAAATCAACAAAATGCAGTCGCGGAATCGAAGCATTTTTAGGCCACTAAAAGAATTTTGTGACTCAAACGGTGACCAGGCCGCCCTGCATTGAACCTTGTTATTAAATCTATATTACATTGTTTAACCTTCCTCTTTCGAATCAGCCCTCACCCAGCCTCAAATATTCTCATATAAGGACGAAAACCGAAAAATTCTGGACCCCGTTTTAGGCCCATTTTTGCCGGTAAGGTCACCTCGCTGCATTACCCGTGTCTACCCCCTTAAGTCGGCGATTATTGTTTATTCAAAAGTTATTAACAAAGAAAGATCGATATATGCGCCGCAATTTTCCCGGAAATCTGAACATTTCTATGGATATAACGCTTCCAAAATGCATATGGCACGACAGCTAAGAATTAGTTCATTCAAGTTCGTAACAGAACACGTAAGTGGCTCTACCAGGCCCAACGAAAAAACTGCTGTAATACCGACCTGCCAAATCGGAGAGGTCACGTGCCACCCCCTTAATGCATAAAGCTTTTGGCTATTTTCGTTGATTTGTAATTGTTTCTTAGTACTAATTTAATAATACAAAACTATTCAGGAAAGGAAATTTTGTAGACTAAATGAAAACTGAATTTGTTTGTTCCAGGTGATGGATGGGCGAAAAGGGAAGAAGAAGAAGAAGAAGGAAGGAATAAAAACAGTGAGTGAGAGAGCAGGAGATGATAAAGGGAAGGAATTATGGTATCCGAAGATGATACAGCGACTTACATACTACTAGGAAAATTTACTTACTAAATAATGCAACAACAAAAACAACTAACTTAAACGAAAAGAAGACTATAATACAATAATAACGATTAAACTTGGTATACTAATTTCTTACTACCTAAATAGATAGTCTATGTGTAATACCATTAATAAAGCTTTGTTGAGATAATTATATTTTGCTTGTTTAAACTTATCCTAGCCCTACTCTATTACTCCTAGAGTAATTATTTAGGCACTTATTAACAGGCTAGCTAATCGAAATAGCTATGATTCTTTTGACACTCAAAATACATATGTACAGGCTCCGTTGTAGACTTACTTAGAATACTGTTTTATCAGTCCTTAAGGGTATATTCTTTAGCTAGGAACGCAGTTGAGTGCCCTGTAGCTTTTTTCGTTGCACTTTTTTGAGGGAAGACCATCCTTGGCGAGGACTAGTTCAGGATTCATCGTTCCAGGGCAATCCTTTCATGTATTCGTGAGACTCCGTGTGAGATCCATTGCAGGAAGATCCGTGCTGAATATGAGCAGTTCTTTGTTCTTCGCCACTTCTTTGGGGTTATATAATAAAGCATTGCTGCCTTTTGCTCTCTTCGTGTGGTATATGATTGGAATGTTGCTGGCTTTATCTTGTATGCATCCGTACTTGTCCAAGAACATGAATGCTTCTGGTAGCATAAGCCCTGAGGTTTTAGGTTTTTCTAAATAGGGTTCGAGCTACAATGCAACTCCCCTTATCAAGTTCTTTTTTGGCTTGCTGTTTAGAGCTTTGAGAAAATGAATTCTGATTGCTTTCAGCATGAATATATCAAAGCGGAAGCATTTTGCTCTATCGTAGATTACTTTGTTTCTTATATACTTGATTTGTCCTGTAGGGAGGTATCTGCACATGTGTAGGGATGGCCTACACATGTTCGATGCCGACCGCAGTAATTTCCTTTTGTAGCCATAGTTAATCGAAATGCAAGGAAAATCTGTTGGAAAGACAGGATTTATTTTAGGAGCAGATACAAGGTGTAGGATACAGTTTTCCTTTTTATTTATTCGTACAAAACTTTTTACAAAGAGCGCCATGCTTATACTTTTCCCATTCGATAGGCGTCCAGGTATTATCGCCGAACTCTCCATATCGAACGGGCGTCTCGAAAACTAACTTTACTAGGGCGTCCAGGAGATGCTCTGTACTCTCCCGACCGACAGGCGTCCAGGTATTATCGCCGTACTCTCCGTATCGGTCGAGCGTCCAGGAACAGGTTTCCCGTACTCTCCCTTCTTCGGGTAGGCGTCCAGGAATTGTCGCCGAACTCTCCTACCGGGATCTCTCTCTCTCTCTTCTCCGGCAGACGTCCAGGTATTATCGCCGTACTCTCCTGCCAGAGTCCCTAACCTGCTGACCAAGAGCGGCCGATGGTCTTACCTCGTCCTTTCTTTCTGTTAACAGCAGGCGAAGTAGACCGAGGCCGTCGCGAGCCCTTATTTTCCGCTCGTTGCCATCCGCGGTCGCCGAAATCAACGATCTCGTCGTCAGGAATGAATTTGGCGTTTTCCGCGCTCGCGTTCCGCGTCTCCGCTCGCGCCTCGCATCCCTGTCTCCCGCGATACTCTATCGTCGGTTTTCTCGAAATCGTCTGGACGTTTCCAGACTGCGTCGCTTTCGCGAAGTTTCTTTTTTACCGTTGTTACATTCGCCCCCTCTGGACACGAAATCGTCTCGATGAGTAGTCCAGGATTTTATTCGTTGAAGTCCTCTCTGGAACTGGGGCCGGCTTCTTCTTCCCTCCTTCTTTTCCGGGGACGCCCACGTCTTCGGATGGGCACCACTGGTGTCGGTATCAGCCCTCGTTCTCCAGTGTAGGGGCTGAGTGCTGAAGCGTGGTAGACTCCAATCGCCACAGGCTCGGCTTCCCTGGTTGTCAGCTCGTACTGCTTGCGCCGATGCGCCGTTTCACGACGTATGGCCCATCTCGTCTCGGGGCCAGCTTGGATGAGTAGTTCTGGTCTTGTTTACTCAGTGTGTGGGTGGCAACCCAGACTAGGTCGCTGGTCCCGTATTCTGGTCCCTCACGCCGTCGTTTATCTGCATACCGTTTCCTGCGGTCCTGGCACTCTTCCTGTGTTTGTTGCGCCACTCGCAGGGTGTCGGCCAGGGCGAGCAGTTTCGGGGTGACCTTAGGTAGAAAATTTTCTCCTTCGATGATTGCCCTCAGGTCACGATTGGTGTCGTCTGGTGTCCGCAGCTCTCGTCCAAACGTGAGATAAGCAGCCGTATACCCAGTCGTCTCGCATTTCGCCGAATTCATAGAGAAATGGATGGCAGGAAGTCGATCGTTCCAGGTGGTGTGGTCGTTCCGGACATAGATCCCAAGCTGTGCCTTCAGGTCTCGGTTCTTCTTCTCCACTGGATTCGCCTCTGGATGATAAACAGGGGTAAAAGATTGCTGGATACCTAAGCAATGAGCAACTTGCTGCATTATTCCGCATATGAACTGTGTACCGTTGTAGCTGATGATTCGGCGGGGTAACCCGAATCTTAGTAATACCTCATTTATTAGGACCTCTGCACACGCCGTTGCGGTTGCCTGCTGTAATGGAAATATTTCTACCCACCGGGAAGCGGTGTCCTCGATTATCAATATCCAGCGGTTGTTCTTCTTCATGGTAGGTAGTGGGCCAAAGAGGTCTACCGCCAGTACTTCAAAACGTCGCTGCATCACAGGTGTTTGAAGCAAGCCGGCTGGCTTGAGGTTGCTGGACTTGTAACGTTGACATTCGATACAGGAACGGACGTACTCCGCAATTTCTCGAGCCATCCCTGACCAGAAGTATCGTTTCATTATCCGGTGGAGGGTGTGCATGCGTTTGAACCGGTAGATCCCAAAGGAGGTGGTAAATGTCGTCTTGTCTCGATCTTCAGGCCATACTCCGATCTGCTAATATCCTGACTGCAGATCCAGGGTGGACATGTAGTTGGTCTTCTTGGCTGCATGCAGTAAATCGTCGATCCTTGGTAGTGGGTACGAATCGCTGACCGTGATTGCATTTAGGCGTCGATAATCGACGCAAATCAGAATGCTGCCATTCTTCTTCGGTACCAGGACCACAGGTGCAACCCAGGGTGACTCGCATTCCCCGATGATGTCACATTCCAACATTTTCTTCAGCTCCTTTTGCAGCAGCTCTCTTTTCGCGGGTGGCAGGCGATACGGTGGTACTGCTATGGGAGCATGGTTTTCGGTGTTTATTCTGTGGATTGCCTCGGCCGTCGGAGGCCCCTCTGCTTGAAAGAGCTCCTTGTTAACCTTTAACAGATTTTGTAGTTTCTCAATTTCTTTCGGGGTTATACTTACGGCTTCGTCTTCCCGTATTTCTTCTATGCCGACTGCCGCGATGTCCATCCGTCCGGATTCGTAGGTGCGTAGGCACTTCTGGAATAATTTATCAACTTCCGACCATTTGGATTTCGCCCCTTCCCTCGTGCGTTTTCGCGGGCTTCTTAACGAGCTGGTGGCGGTGGAAATTCTTGCGAGACTTCCTCCAGGTATGTTTGCAGCCCGTTTGGTGTCTGCCACGAAGCATGTGATGCCCGGGATCGAGTCTCCTTCTGTCTCGTTGGTTTCCCCTTGATAGTCATACTCCTGTTTAGGGTCTTCGATAAAATGCCAGCTTCGTTGCGGAGTGTTGATAATGATCCCAGCATCTTCCATGAAATCTACCCCCAGGAGTGTACGATTGTCCTTGCTGTTGGGTAAGATGATGAACTGGGTTGGAATTGTTCGTCCTTCCAGGTCCACGTCTACTTTCGTAACCAGGACTTCCCGGATACGTGGGTTTCCGTCGGCCAAAGCAACTTGCATGCTCTTATGTGAAAAGGTCAGTCCTATCTTCCTGAGTACTGCGAAGAGGCTCTGACTCGCCACGCAGCACTTGGCCCCGGTATCGAAATAGGCATGACCCTTTTCACCTGCGATGGTTACCGTTACCTTTGGTCGTGTTCTCGGCTGGTCCGGGGTGTCGATGATGTTGTCCTCTTATTACAATCCGGGCATTTGCTTCTTACGAAGCCAGGTTTGCCGCAGCCATAACATTTCAAGGGTGGTTTCGTCGCTGGCGTTGGTCTTGAGTGTGGTGTTTCCCGTAGATTTCGCGGGGGCTTGGAACTTCCGGTGTCTACATTCCAGTGTACTATGCCCGAATTTCCGGCATATTCCGCACCGTGACCGTTCCTTCCATCGTTGATCCTTCTTCACGGGTCGTTCCTCTAGATTTTGCTGCTGGGCCTCTTTTTCCAGTTTTTCAATTTCCCTTGCGCGGTTCACGAGGTCGGTGAAAGACGAGACGGATTCCCTCGAAATCCGTTCACGTAGATGAAAGCGTAGAAGGCCGTACAGCATATCTATTTGGACGCTTTCCGTGGGCAGCTCTGGCAATTCCGCAAGAAGGGCTCTTTTCTTGCTGATGAAGAGGTCGGTGGGCACCTTTGGATCTTGGGCGGTGCGAAATACCTCGGTGTACACCTGATGCGCGGGTCTTCGGGGCGGGAAGGTAGCGCGTATCAGATCCACAGCTTCTCTCCAGGTTCATTCCGTGGTTTGGACGCCTCTCCACCACGTGACCACGTGTTCTTGCAGGAGCAGGGGTAGTCCACGGAGAGCGTTTTCGTCGGAGATATGCTCAATGTCTTTGTAGATGGAGGTCGTCGTTATAAATTCAACGATCTTTGCGTAGCTTTGGATTCCATCAAAGCGCGCTGAACATTTCGCGAAGCTTCTTTCCTCTACCGGGCGTGTCCGTTGGATGGATTCCAGGATTTCGGAAAGCTGGGAAGTGGATATCTGGAGGTTCGTCGGTGAGGAGGATTTGTAGCCATAGTTAATCGAAATGCAAGGAAAATCTGTTGGAAAGACAGGATTTATTTTAGGAGCGGTTACAAGGTGTAGGATACAGTTTTCCTTTTTATTTATTCGTACAAAACTTTTTACAAAGAACGCCATGCTTATACTTTTCCCGTTCGATAAGCGTTCAGGTATTATCGCCGAACTCTCCATATCGAACGGGCGTCTCGAAAACTAACTCTACTAGGGCGTCCAGGAGATGCTCTGTACTCTCCCGACCGACAGGCGTCCAGGTATTATCGCCGTACTCTCCGTATCGGTCGAGCGTCCAGGAACAGGTTTCCCGTACTCTCCCTTCTTCGGGTAGGCGTCAAGGAATTGTCGCCGAACTCTCCTACCGGGATCTCTCTCTCTCTCTTCTCCGGCAGACGTCCAGGTATTATCGCCGTACTCTCCTGCCAGAGTCCCTAACCTGCTGACCAAGAGCGGCCGATGGTCTTACCTCGTCCTTTCTTTCTGTTAACAGCAGGCGAAGTAGACCGAGGCCGTCGCGAGCCCTTATTTTCCGCTCGTTGCCATCCGCGGTCGCCGAAATCAACGATCTCGTCGTCAGGAATGAATTTGGCGTTTTCCGCGCTCGCGTTCCGCGTCTCCGCTCGCGCCTCGCATCCCTGTCTCCCGCGATACTCTATCGTCGGTTTTCTCGAAATCGTCTGGACGTTTCCAGACTGCGTCGCTTTCGCGAAGTTTCTTTTTTACCGTTGTTACACTTTCAAATATTCGCAACTTTTCCATTACGTACGGGGCTACAGAGAACCAAATTGGGCATGCATACGACATAATGGATCTTGTTTATGTTGATTTTTAATTTCCAAGCTGAACAATAACTGATTATTTTGTTGAAGGTTTCCTGCAGTTTTGCCTGGATGGTTAGTACGTGCTTGTGGATGTAGTAAATGATCAGATCGTCTGCAAATGCCACGACTTTGTATCCATCGTTGCTGTTAAGGGCATAAATAGATTTAGACAGTCCGAGTAGAATAAGCTGAAAAGGATTGGAGAGTTTACGGCCCCTTGTTGTAATCCATTTGACATGGTGAAGATTTTATCAGACATTTGATTATCGAGAGAAACTTTGAACTTTCTACCTATTATCATGTTGTATATCATTTGAAGTAAATGTGGTGGGAATTTTTGCTTGTGCAGCTTAAATATGAGGCCCTTTGTCCATACGGTATCAAAAGTCTTTTCCATATCGATCAGGTAAGCCTCCATCATCTGATTCTCGTTGAGGACTCAGCAGATGTCCGATGTTAGCTTGTTGATTGTATACACTGTTGAATGGTCTCGTTTGAAGCCGAACTGCTGGTCGGGCAATAAGTTTTCTGCTACAACAAAACTATTAATTCTATTATTTATTATTATTTTAAATAGTTTACCGATATTTGGAAGCAGGCTTATTGGTCTGTAATTCTTCAACACTGCAGGGTCTTTATCTTTCTTAAGCAAAGCAACGATTTTAGCTGTTTTCCATTTGCTTGGGAAATAATAATTGTTGAGACAATTGTTAAATAGAATAGAGAGTGTCCGAATTATGTTGCCAGGCTGCTTCTTTAGCACTGCACTAGGTATATAGTCAAAACTAGACGACTTTTTTTTTATAAGTTTTTTTAGTGCTAGTTTGATTTTATTGGAGTTGGTGAAATAGTTGTCGGATTCTACGGGAGCGTCTGATGTGTTGGAATCGGAAAACTGAGTCTTCTGCTGCGCGCTAAAACTATTTGTGATTTTCATAACTTTGTTGTTAACGAAATTTTCGAACTTTGTTTCCGGTTGGTCTGCTGGAAAGTTTTTTGTATGAACCCTTTGAAAGTGCGTGCCTAGCAGAGCTAACTTGTTCTGTGTGTAGATTCGTACTTGTTATCAACAATTTTGACTGAGGTAGGATCGATGTCTGTTTCTCTCAGCAAGCTAAATCCTGCGCGCTGATATGAAATTCTGCAGAAACGTTGCTGGATCGCGGCCGAAATACTTGATTTTTGAATCTGTTGTTCCAAAACTTAGATGCTGCTGCAGTGTAGATGCGTTTAAGCTCTGCGTTTATTATTTTTATACAATTCTTCAGGAAAGTAATCATCTCAGTTTCGTATAATTGCTTGTTTCTGTAATATTTAAATAAGCAGGATAGCAACTTACTCTTCAGATTCTGCAGTTTATGGATTGTGCTGTTGTGGTATGCTTCCACTGAGTTGAATGGCTTATATTTGGGTGTAGTTTTCTGCAGTGCATCGTATACTGCTTCTTCTAAGTTGCCTATTGTTTTGTTGATTTTGTCCGGCGACAGATTTTTTGAACAGCTCAGTTTGCAGTGTTTGGATTCTTGTAAATCCTTCTCAAAAGCTTCCCAGTTGGTTTTTCTCAGTAATAGGCATTCAGCTTGATGAGGAGTTGTTTTGGCTATTACTAAGTTCTCGTGATTTAAAATGAGTTGAATCGCTCAGTGATCACTGTCGTAGGGTATTGCCTTAAGAAAGCAATGCTTATTTGTACTGTTGTTTAACAGTCTAGAATCTACACATGCTATGTCCAGAGTGGAGTTTGCTCTACGAAATGTGGCCACGTCAGGAAACAGTGAGCTTGAGTTTGATGAAAATTTTTTCAAATTCTTTGATGAACTGACGACTGTCATCGTTCACGCTGTAGGTCGCAACAATGTGAAAAGCTTTGTTGTTACTTAACTTCAAAGTTATTGCAGTCGTCTCAATTACTCCCTGATCAATGAAGTTTAGGTCAACTCTAGTGAACTGAATGTCGTTGCGTACGAGTACATATCGCTGTTCCTCCTCCTTGGATCGCATTTTGTCTGTCGTTTCGGACTACTTTATAATTTTTAAACTGTAAGCTGTGTTTAGCGTTAAGTTTTGTCTCATTTAAACATAACACGTGCGGATTATGTATTTCGAGGAACGAGGTTAGAAATGCTCTCTTATAAAGGTTGATAATGGAGTTCACACTAATAGAGATAATTTTGAAATTCTTGAGCACTTGTCTCAAGTTACCTGTCTTCATAGATTGGCTTCTTTGATTAGGGAGCATTGCGACTGCTGCTAGAAGTAAAGTTTCCATGATTGACTCCATACATGAACATGTGCAGTAGCATGTCTATTTTTTCAGTATTGTTGTTAACTTGCTGCATAATTTTTGGTATTTGCGCGCTGAGATTGATGATGGCGTTTGCCAGCTGCTGCGGGTCAGACTGACAAGAATGGTTTTGTGGGCTTGAATGCTTCCTGGGTAATGAATGCTTGTGGTGCTTGGTTTTTCATTTCTGCTGCAGGCAGCGATGGGCTATGCTTTACCATATTTTTGCTGCCAATAGGATTTCTTCTGCTGGAAGATTCTTGCATCTTAGACTTGAAAATTGGGCATCCCCTGTATGAAGCAGGGTGACCAAATTGCTTGCAGTTTATGCAGTAAACAGCTTCTTTATGCAAGTTTTCCCCCAGCTTGCACTCTCCTCTAATGTGTGCTTCATTGCACTTAACGCATCTGAAACTCAGGAAATAGTTTAGCTGTGAGTGACCAATTCTTTGCCAATTTTTGCACTGAGGTAGCTCTTTTCTGACTAGCTTTTCCCACTGGATTTTGTGGTAACTTACATATCTAATGTTTTTTAAAAAAGTTGTATCTGACAATGAGTCGGAAGAGAATTCAACCAAGAATTTTGGCAATTTTTTGTTCTCCTTTTTTGATTTTATTGTCTCAAATAAAGAGATTTTCACTGCCTTTATTTTGCTTGAGGCCATCTCATTGATTTCTTTTAGGACAGTGTTCTTATCTGCTTCAGGATCGATATCTTTTAGTAGATAGTATTGGGCTTTCAGTATCTTTGGTGTGTAAAATTTTATATTCCTGGATGACAGTTTTTTTTTCACCTTGTTGTGAGAGGTTATGTCACCCATCATTAGTATATGTTTAGCACTAGAGATTCTTTTTATAAAAAAGTTGGTATTGTTGCAACT